AAATGCTAACCCGTCCTTGATTATAATTTGTACTACGCTAACCCGCTATCCGGATTCTTGAGTCAACTAGGCTGAGTTTCTCTTGGAAAATTTCGACCAAAGTTTGACTTACAAACATTTTTTGATATAAATCGACTTAGGATGGTTCAGAACTTCCTATTGGTGCAGAAAGTTTTGGAACAGGGGAATTTCAAAGCGCATTTTGATATAAGAAATGCTAACCCGTCCTTTATTATACTTTGTACTACGCTAACCCGCTACCCGGATTGTTGATCGAATCAACTAAAAACTAGAAGTTCCTATCGCAAGACAAGTGCTGCCTTTATAAACCAGAGTCACACTTAGAACATTTCAGGCAATCGCAAAAAAAAATTTCCATCTACATCGACCTAGAAAGGTTCTAAACGCATATTGATGCGGAAAGTTTTGGCACAGGGGAATTTTAAATCGCATTTTAATATAAGAAATGCTTAGCCGTGTTTTAATATACTTTCTACTACGCTTAGCCGTTCGCCGCTTTCGTGATCAAATCAACTATAAACTTAATTCCTGTGAAATTAAACAATATAGAATGATTAGCTTAATCCCTTCGGACTAGGTTCAACCTGGCAATATTTCCTTATACTTGTAGACGGATTTTGGACATAGAGGTATAAAATGAATAAAAAATAGCCAGAATAAATAAAGGATAAAATATTCTGAGTCCGCTACAAAACACGAGTTCAACTGGATTTGAGCTCGAAAGTTTATCGCGATAGGCCAAACGACCTAACACTAAGCCATCAGTGGACAACCTGACATTCTTGTAAAATTAAAAACAAAACTACATTGTTGAGATCTGCTCATAAACCAAAGTCAGACTTAGGAAATATCGGGCAAATGAAAAAAAAAATTTCGATCTAACTTGACTTAGAAAGGTTCAAAAGGCATATTTATGCGGAAAGTATCGGCATACGGGAATTTTAAAGCGCGTTTTGATATAAGAAATGCTAACCCGTCTTTCATTATAATTTGCACTACGCTAACCCGCTATGCGGATTCTCGAATCAACTAGGCTGAGTTTCTCTTGGAAAATTTTTGACCAAACTTTGACTTACAAACATTTTTTATATAAATCGACTTAAGATGCTTCAGGACTGCCTCTTGGTGCAGAAAGTTTTGGAACAGGGGAATTTCAAAGCGCATTTTGATATAAGAAATGCTAACCCGTCCTTCATTATAATTTGCACTACGCTAACCCGCTATCGGCCGGATTCTTGAGTCAAGTAGGCTGAGTTTCTCTTGGAAAATTTCGACCAAACTTTGACATACAAACATTTTTTTATATAAATCGACTTAGGATGCTTCAGAACTGCCTATTGGTGCAGAAAGTTTTGGAACAGGGAAATTTCAAAGCGCATTTTGATATAAGAAATGCTAACCCGTCCTTCATTATAATTTGTACTACGCTAACCCGCTATCCGGATTCTTGAGTCAACTAGGCTGAGTTTCTCTTGGAAAATTTCGTCCAAAGTTTGACTTGCAAACATTTTTTTATATAAATCGTCTTAGGATGGTTCAGAACCGCCTATTGGTGCAGAAAGTTTTGGAACAGGGGAATTTCAAAGCGCATTTTGATATAAGAAATGCTAACCCGTCCTTCATTATAATTTGTACTACGCTAACCCGCTATCCGGATTCTTGAGTCATCTAGGCTGAGTTTCTCTTGGAAAATTTCGTCCAAAGTTTGACTTGCAAACATTTTTTTATATAAATCGTCTTAGGCTGGTTCAGAACTGCCTATTGGTGCAGAAAGTTTTGGAACAGGGGAATTTCAAAGCGCACAGTTTGATATAAGAAATGCTAACCCGTCCTTTATTATACTTTGTACTACGCTAACCCGCTACCCGGATTCTTGATCGAATCAACTAAAAACTAGAAGTTCCTATAGCAAGACAAGTGCTGCATTTATAAACCTGAGTCAGACTTAGAAAATTTCGGGCAAATCAAAAAAAAAATTTCGATCTAAATTGACTTAGAAAGGTTCAAAACGCATATTGATGCCGAAAGTGTCGGTATAGGGGAATTTTAAAGCGCATTTTTATGTAAGAAATGCTAACCCGTCCTTCATTATACTTTGTACTATGCTAACCCGCTATCCCGATTCTTGAGTCAACTAGGCTGAGTTTCTCTTGGAAAATTTCGACCAAAGTTTGACTTACAAACATGTTTTGATATAAATCGACTTAGGATGGTTCAGAACTGCCTATTGGTGCAGAAAGTTTTGGTACAGGGAAATTTCAAAGCGCATTTTGATATAAAAAATGCTAACCCGTCCTTTATTATACTTTGTACGCTAACCCGCTACCCGGATTCTTGATCGAATCAACCATAAACAAGAAGTTCCTATCGCAAGACAAGTGCTGCCTTTATAAACCAAAGTCACACTTAGAAAGTTTCGGGCAAATCGAAAAAATATTTTCGATCTAGATCGACTTACAAAGGTTCAAAATGCATATTGATGCGGAAAGTTTCGGCATTGGGGAATTTTGAAGCGCATTTTGAAATAAGAGATTCTAACCCGTCCTTCAGTATAATTTGTACTACGCTAACCTGATAAATATCAAAATATGATTTAGATAGTTTTTGGAAAAATAATGGAAAAAATAAATAAAGAATAAAATTGTAAAAAAGTTACGAGAGTTTTACCGGGGAACGGTTCACATCTTTCGCTCATGATGGCCTTAGTCTTTACCACAATACGATGATGGCAACGATGTAAATAGTAAAAAATTGCAGTACTTCAATATTCGCTGTTTTACGTTGTACTTAGTCTACGTCCTTGTTCATCCCTCGTCATCCTTGGTTAAATCGACTCAAAATTGTGCTAATATGCAAAAAATTATCAAAATATGAATAGTCAGCTGTTAGGAGGTGCGAATTAGAGAGTTTTTGGAAAAATAATGGCAAAAATAAATAAATAAAAAAATTATACGAAATGTTACGAGAGTTTTACTTGGGAACGGTCCACAACTTTCGCTCATGATGGCCTCAGTCTTTACCATTATACCATGATGGCAACGATGTAAAGAGCTAATTAATTGCAGTACTTCAATATTCTCTGTTTTGCTCTGTACTAGCTGTATGTAGATTTTTTCGATTTCATCCTAGAGAAGAATTCTCTTCAGCGCTCTACATCCTTGTTCATCCCTCGTCATCCTTGGTTAAATCGACTTAAAAATTGTCCTAATATACAAAAAACTATCAAAATATGAATATTCAGCTGTTAGGAGGTGCGATTTAGAGAGTTTTTGGAAAAGTAATGGCAAAAAGAAATAAAAAAAAATTATACGAAAAGTTACGAAAGTTTTACCTGTTCGCCAGGGCCTCCGGCAAGGCGGTGTCAGCCATGAGGCCCTAGGACCGAGGGTCCGGATATCATAAAAACATGGTAAGAAAACAACTAGCCAATCAGATGCCAGTTCGGAATATGGATTTGGCCAGAGCCCCTCGTCGAACGGCGCGGAAGAAGAGCTCTGGTTACGAGAATGATGCGGAAGAGGTTATTTCGCTGGCCTCAGAAGGCTGAGTAACGGTTTTCAGACGTTCCGACTTGACATCTCCAAAAATCGGGAGGTCTGGTAAAGGCAAGAAAATGTTGACCTCTAGTGTGACTGGGTAGAAAATTTAGAAAATTTAAACTTTCTTTCAGAAGCGCCATTTCTTGATTCCGAGACTCGTGAATACAACAACTGTAATTTTCCGCCTTTCATGCGAAATATTACGAAACTTTGTCCGTGTCGTGCAAAACACCCCTCTTGGCGAAATACCGCTTTTTTGGCGATCCGACAACCGTTTTTACCGTACGCGAACGGTTTTTACAAGGATTCTTTCAGGAAAAGTAACATTTTTTCTTTTCATTTGTAAATTAAATATAAATCGGGAGATCGGGAGATTTGCCAAGAAATGGGGAGCCTCACGATGAAATCGGGAGGGTTGGAACCTTTGGGTTTTACTAACACTAACCCTATCCCAAACACCGACTCTAACCCCAACCCTAATCCTTACCCTAACCCTAACCTAACCCTACTCCACCAAGTTTGTTTCTAAACCAGTCTTGAAGAAAATATTTTTGACGAAATGTCATTATAAGCACCAATCTCGTTCCCCGAGCCTGCGATCCTCGGGAAGGAATCGAAGGCTCTGGGATAATCTGTTACCGGAAGCCAAGAATCCTGGCTAAGATTGAACTACGCATTCCATTTCAATGGCCATTCAGATTCCTCCCTGAAACGGATTATCCCAGAGCCTCGCGTTCCTTCCCGAGGATCGCAGGCTCGGGGAACGAGATAGTATAAGCACAAAATCACATGGTAGAACTCAGTCTTCTAAGTAATCAGCTTGGCCAAGAGAGTACGCCACCATCTTGAATAAATTAGATTTTTAGTAAAATTAATATCTCTGAACTAAAATACAAGGTTTGTGTTTTTCAAAATTTCAAGAGATTAACTCATGTAAAAATATATTAAACAATCTGATCATGTCTGCCGCGTCGAAATTCCCCATTCAGTCAACGGCGGGAGCCGTGCCGGTAAAAAATGACAAAGGTAGGTTTATATATTAAAACATAGTGTTCTAATATTTTCATAAATGCTCGGATATTTTATATTTATGTTAGATAATTTTAACTGACCGTTGTGCCTCGATGTTGTTTAAAGGTGAACTGTCTATGCAGAAAGTGAAAGTTACCAGATATGTCGCAGGAAAACGGTATACAACAAATTAAACATAACATATATTGCTCATTATTAACTGAACTATTTGACAAATACAGTTCAATATGGCGAGTCTAGAATGGGTAGTCTTCCACAATAAACTACCTGAAAAAGATTAAAAATACTTTGATGTTTTAAAGCAAAGCCTCAAAGAACCCCAGACCTGCCAACTTTAACAGGAAATCTCAGGTATAGAACTGTGGTCTCCCGGTCATACCCTTAGCCATACCCGGTCATACCCTTAGCCTGTCCACCCGTCTTTTGGACAGGCATTTTTGAAAGTGGACGGGCAATGTTTCACTTTCATTGCTATATCATACAGATATTTAATAGTAGGTGCACACTGTACATCTATGGTTTTGCAAAATATTTCGTATTATAGAACTAAACTTTGGGAATTTGCAGAATTCGCAGCGAGATTGCAGTAAGCTTCATATTAACAAGACTATATCACATACATCCAAAACTGCATTTTACAACTGCTGAAAAAAAATTACACCAGTTCAAAAACAAAATGGTGTAGGCGAAATGAAAAATTGAGTGCATTTCCAGACACTTGTTCAGTGAATCAGCCCCTGCTTCGGGCAGTGAAAATTTCTCCCGGTATAGACCTTCCCCCTTATAACTAAAATTTTAGTCTAGACAAAAATTTCATCACAGCTTGAAAGAGCATCACAAAATTAGTATTATTATGAAGTTTCTTTGCGAAATATTGTAAAATGCGGATAATATAGCCTTGAGAAGTTTGCCATTTTTCAGTCATTTTGTATTACAAACAGGAAATTGACAGCCCAATCTGGTGTTGGGGCATCAATTTCCCATTTGTAACACAGAATGACTGAAAATTGATTTTGCAAGGCTATATTATCCGCATTTTACAACATTTCGCAACGAAACTTCGGAATATTACTAATTTTGTGATGCTCTTTCAAGCTGTGATGAAATTTTTGTCTAAGACTGTCGTGTACGACTCGTATTCTGGCAAATCCAATTGAGTAGGCACGCCTCAATTTGCATCTTCAATTCAGATTTTTGGAATTGTGGCATCAAATGAAATTCATACAACAGAACCCGAATCACACAGGACAAATCACAATGTGCAAACGCCCCTCAAACATAACAAACAAGGCTAATCATTATGTCATTGTTAGGCCAGGATATGCTCCATCGTCAAGTGATGAAGATGATGAAGAAGAAGATGAATTTGTCCAAGAACAGCGAGAACCTGTCGACATTTTGATGGACAGACGTTTGAAAGAGGTGAGAAGGAATGGAACATCAGTCACAAGGATGCACATACATTAACCACTTTTTATGTTTAGGAATATGACAAAGCAGAAGAGACCGACAGACGTTTGAAAAGGTTGCACGGTCGAGAAAGGACAGATGTGTAAGTATCCCTTTGTTACATTCCAACCTTGTACCCAGGCTCTTTCCACTTTGCTCCTCCCTGGAGGAAACACCCAGGCTGATCACATATCTCCCAGATTTTGTTAGATAACAAAACTTTCAGTTCAAAAGTGGTGCGTTTTCCCACACGTAATACTAAAATACTCAAAATATGCTAATTTCACAATGCTATATTTTCTGTGTTTTATAACATTTTGCAGCCAAATTTAATAATTTTACTACTGTAATTTAAGGTTGTTCTTTTAAACTATAATGATAGATTGTGTCCTTGCCGGATCATATTTGGTCCATGGCTGGAAACATGCATCATCTCCTAAAATCCGGGAGACATGTGAGCAGTCAGGATAAGGGTCTTTCCTCCAGTGAGGAGCATAGTGTGAAGAGCCTGGGTTGTCCCCATTCTACAACCTGTCTTGTGATAAGCTTTGGAAACAAATGTATTTTGGTGAATGATCCAGGTCAGAAGTGACAAGAGAACGCCATTTGGAAGAACCAGAAATACTGGCTACTGGCGAGGATGAACAATCTGCAGACGAGGTAGTGTTTTTGTGCATGCCAGAAAGTTGTAAAAAACATACATTGGGTCATTCCAGAAAACATTTATGTCCCCTACATGGAGTAACTGCCTAACTACCACTTTGAACATTCTAGTGTATGTCCCCTACATGGAGTAACTGCCTAGGCGTAAAAAAAAACCCTGTGGTTCCGGTTTTATATTGCGAAAAAATTAGGGTCGGTAGGTCGGAAATAATTTTTTTTTTTCATGGTTTTTTCAATAATTAGTCTGACATCAGATGCCATTTTGGCACGAGCAACCCGCAACCACCCGGAGAAAATAGGGTCGCACGGTTAATCGTGTTGAAAAAATAATAGGGTCGGCTGAAAAAAATAGGGTCGGTCGGGAACCGGAACCACAGATATTTTTTTATGCCCTACTACCACTTTGAACATTCTAGTGTACGGCAGAAGGCAGAAGTTTTCTCCATAGGGGACAACATGGGTGTTTTGTGAAATGAGCCATACTGTTGTACATTATTTTCATGAATTGTTATAGGACGTTACCCACATGCGAAGACAACGTTATGTAGAGGAAAGCAGGTATGGGTATCATGAGATAATTTGGGTGCTAATCATGTTGAACAATAAAATTTAAACAACTTCTTGAATTTTCTTATTTCAGTGGTGATGAAGAAGAGGTTGATGACGTGGTATGTTTTATTTTATTTTATTTAACTTTGCCAAGTAACATGCAACATATAACACCACTGATTTACAACAACATATAATAATATGTGTTTCATTGGCAGGGTGCACGCAACAGTTTTCACCAATTACAGCGGCCCCATTAACTATTTTAATACTATTCAACAATATACAACGAACATAAATCTAATAACAACACGATATTTGACAGGACAGATTACGAGACTTGTTACAAGACAAACATATAGATTTCCATGTCCTTGGATCATCAACGTTAAAAACGTCTTCCAACGCTAACTTGTAATATTTTGAAAGTCCGTTTTTGAATTGTCCCAAACTAATGTTATTGCTTGTCAAACTTTTTGGTAATGCGTTCCATAGTCTCTTTGTTCGGTTGAGAAATGACCTTTGGTAGGTAGTGGTCTTGCATTGTGCCGTTGTGATTGACAGATGATTGGGATTAGACGACCTGGTTTGTCTTCTGTTGTTATTGGGTGACGACTGTATTAAATTACTGTCAATGGTCATGATGCCATGCGTTAATTTGTAGAAGGTTACCATATCTAGAAATTCATGCCAGTAGCACAATGGAAGGAGATCTAAAAGTGCAAGTCTCTGGTTGTAGGTTGTGTCACAACGGAAGGGCAGATTCAGGATGTACTTTGTTGCGCGTCTTTGAAGTCTTTCCACGCGTTTAATTAAGGTTACTGATTGTGGTGCCCAAATTTGAGATCCATAGCATAGCTGGGAACGAACAAGACATAAATATAGTCTGCGGCGAACCGTGATATCTTTGATGTTTAAGGTTGATCTTCGGACATATCCTAGCATTCTGGTGGCTTTGTTGCACAGGTGGTCAACTTGTTTAGACCAAGTCAGAGTAGAAGATGTTAAAACTCCAAGATCTCGTTCACAGTCCGTGCATTCTAGGATGGTATCGTTAAGTTTGTATGGATAAGTAATTTTATTGTGCTTTCGGGTGACTCTTAAGACTTTGCATTTGGTGTTATTTAATTCGAGGTTAATAGTGCTTGAGCTTTCTTGGAAGTTTGACAGATCATTCTGTAGAGCAGACGCATCAGAGATCAAATTGATGGTCTTGAAGATCTTGGTATCGTCCGCGAATATAGCAATCCTTGAATTGGTCACGGAATTGGAGAGATGATTCTCATATAGAAGGAACAATAATGGACCGAGGATGGACCCCTGCGGCACTCCTGATGTTACTGGAAGCGGCCTCGACGTTGCTCCAAGAACGGTCGTTTGTTGATATCGGTTGGTCAGATATGAACCGAACCATTTGAGAATGCTTCCTCCAAACCCGAATTCACGAAGGCGATGTAACAGCTTTGCGTGGCTCACTTTATCAAAGGCCTTTGACATGTCTAAATAAATTACGTCAATTTGTTTACCACGATCTAAGTCACGGCCAATGTGATCAAGGACTTCGATGAGTTGGGTGATGCAGGATTTTTTCGGCACAAAACCGTTTTGGCAAGGGTTTATCTGATCATAAGCATGATGTTTGATGTTGTTAAATACACAACGTTCGAGGGTTTTTGAGATAAGGGACAGTAGTGAAATTGGTCGGTAATTTTCTACCTCCGCTTTTTCTCCGTGTTTGTAAACAGGGACCACGTTAGCGAGTTTCCAATCGTCAGGCACAACGCCAATACGTAAAGACTTGTTGAAAAGAGAACAGAGAGATGGTGCAATCTGCGCGGCTGTCTCTTTCAGTAGGCGGGCTGGAATATTATCTGGGCCATGTGCTTTATTATGGTCTAAATTCATTATCACAGCTAGTACTTCTTCCTCCGATAATGTGATATTCTCAAACTCTACGTTATGCAGACGATCACCATGTTCAAAGGCGACGTCCGAGTCAGAGGAGAAGATGGAAACAAAATATTCATTGAACATGTTCGCTATATCGGTGTTACTGTTCGCGTGCTTTCTTTCACTGTCATTGACTTTC